TCTTGTTGAGTAATCAGAATTGAATCATAAATGTATTCACTTCTGTCTTAAATGCAACTTTATTTACAGTTACTCCCTTACTTAAAGGTAAACATTAAAAGTTAAAATTTAAAATTAACATTCAAGTTACAATTGAAAATAAATAAGTAAATTAATGCATGGATAATTATAAGTCAGTGGCTAAAAAATAATACTGAAAAATAAGTAAATTTTTTTTCCTTAATATTTAGGACAGTTTGTGGTGGTCTCAAAATTATTGCTTGGCCCTGAACATAAATTGCAAAACTCCTAAGGAAATAAGGTGGTGTACATTTTAATGATGATACATAACCACGTTTGTTATAAACTTATAATGGCTACATATGTATTAACCTTTAAATGCTGGGCTTTTGAATTGGTGGCAAGCTTGAGCTGGCCGGAGTTTATTTAAATGCCTGCTGCTGGTGCGTGTTTAAATGCACGTTGCTACTCTGCGTTTAAATGTCCGTTCCTGTTAGGGCACTTAACCAATTTGAAGCATTGTGTTTAAAAATGCTGTGTCTAATACAATTTTTATGATAAATGGATGGAATTAACTTTGTATCAGCAAAGAATATAGTGTCGCATATTACAAGGGAAGATTTGAAAAATTTTATACAAAAAGTTATACTCTATTTTCAATTTTTCTTCTTTTAATTTTGATGTGTACTGCAAAATTGGTTTCAAGGTACTTTGCAGAGTAATTCTGCATTATAAATTCGTTTCTCTTTGTAACACTCATCAAATTTTAGCAGTCCCTAGTGCCATAAAACAGATGGAAGCAATAAAATCATCTGGTTCTCTGCTGGAAAATCTTACATCTTTGTTACACTCTTCAGATTTTCGAATCTTTGGACTAAATGACAGAATGAAAGCATGGCTATTCAAGAAATAGCTAGAGGGGTTCATTCTTCAGTGCTAAGACCTTCCGTTATAGCTGCAAAAGATTATTGCCCTTTCTATGGGTGTGAACAGGCAGCTGCATTGTGGCTGAGATACAGAGTGTTATGGGTGAAGTCCAAAATAAGCCAGAAAAGTAGAGTGTGATCTGTTTTCTGTGCATTCATAGTGAAATCGAATACTGTAGACCCTTTTTGTTGTTGTCCACTTAGGTATCATTTTAATTCCTCTCTTAGGGTTTTACTCAAGTCGGTCTGGTAATTACTACATTTAAAAATAAATATTTAGGACTGTGTGTGCGCTTCTACTAGTGGCGTGTGTGCGCGCTTCCACTAACGGAGTTTAAATGCCTGAGTGGCAAAAACGGGGTACTTAGGCCACAAAAACCTTATTCATCACTGGCCTGAATGGGGCACTTTGGACGTTAAAGGTTGTCCCAGGTAACCTTGCTGTGCTCAAACCCTAACCAAACTTTTAAGCTATAGATGTTGTACCATACTAGAATGTCACATTTGGCAGAGTTTTGATATGTATGTAAGCACCTTATAATGTTATGTAAACTATGATGGCTTATGTGATGTGGACACGAGATGAACTCTAATACCTTGGAACTATGTATTGGGGCTGATTTGACCAATGCGACCAGTTGATGGGTTAGCTGTTTTATTGTAATGCTAAAAGTTATATGATATTAAGATGTATGACTACATATACCCTACAGTTCTTGTCATTGAAGTATTTGATGGTACTCAGCTATTTACTTATTTGACACTAATGTCATACAATTTATGTCAATTTAAATAAAACACACACACACACACACACACGCACACACCAGTAGAAGGTGTCCCAGGAGGAAAGGTCAGTATTCTGGCAGGTCGTAGTATTGGTCATACTGAGCAGAAAAAAAGTGAACATGTGTCCTATTACGAATTGTTTCTGAGATAGAGCCGTTTCATTGTGCAGTACACTGTACACTATACAGACGAGCCATGTCCTCACATGAGTTGCAAAGTGCAATGATGTTGATGGTGTAATTTTTGAAAATGTATTATTGTAGGTAAACTGTATCAACTTCATCACTTGAACAATAAATAAGGGTATTAGAAACAATATGTTCTTATCATCAGTTTTTGAACTGCACATTGAAAGAACTCTTATCTCAGAAACTGTTTTGGAATAGGACACATGAATGTTATCATGATTTAGTAGGTGTGGGTGATTTATTAGATGACGTATGGATTGGATGATAGGATTTGTTGACTGTTTATACACACCACTCAGAACTGCCGGTAATGCAGTGCTGTCGCTGCTCTACGCACTATACAGTTCACTGTTGCACACACACTAGGGTTCTCTGTCTTCACTAGTCGTAGCCTGGCAACCGATTTGTAACAGTCTTACTGTCACTGCAGCTCAAATGTAGTCTTTGCACAATCTAATTGCTTTCATGCCATTTCTTCCCAATCACCTTTGACTGCTGACTCAGTTTCGGGTCGCAACTGCCAACTCTGGAGCTCGCCTGAATTCTCATTGTAGCTGCATGAGATCCTCGTTATATAGCCTCAATGCAATGGAAAACACTGTTTCCTAACAATTCCTCTGTTTTACAGAGGTGTGTTTACCTTACTATTGTGTAGAAATGGAAGTTACTGGATTACTATTTTGTGTTTTCATTACCCCAGGAACGTGTTTACTGAGTAGTTGCCTAGCAGTGGACATCTCCTCTGATTTCACTCTTCTAGCTTTTGGGCGTCATGTCACAACATACATTTTTTTGCTTGGAATACCTGATTCTGTGACCTCTCAGAATATTGACCTGTCCTGGAACACTATATATACCCAATAGATTCACATCATCAGCATAGACGAACAGCTGATGAGTTCCATTTAATTTTAGTCCCACCTGGTTTTCTTGGACCTTCCTAATGGCATATTCTAAAGCAAAGTTGAAAAGCAGTGGTGATATAGCATCTCCTTGTTTTAGATCATTCTGGATAGGAAATTTATCAGACAACTGTTTACATATATGGACTTCACTATACATTTTGTTTAAACACATTTTAATCAGCCTAACTAGTTTCATGGGTATCCCAAACTCTATGAGAATATTGTACAATACATCCCTTCTAACTGAATCAAAGACTTCCTTGAAGTCTGTGAATAGCTGATGTACTGTCTCATTGTACTCCGTTTTTTTCCCAGTATCTGACGAATGCAAAAGAACTGATCAGTAGTGGATCTGTTACGTCGAAACCCACACTGATGATCTCCACTAATTTCATCTTTGTATGGCCTTAATCTTGAGAGAAGAATATTGGATAAAATTTTGTATGCAGTTTATGTCAGTAATATCCCTCGATAATTACTACAGTCAGTTTTATCATCCTCCTTGGGAACTGGAACAGCTGATCAGACAACTTTTCCTTATGACAGATAGAAGTACGTAATTAGCTTGTGGATCTTAGCACATAATATTTCACCTCCTGCTTGAATAAGTTCTGCTGGAATTTGATCAGTACCTGGCAATTTATACTTTTTCAATTTCAGAGTAGCACTTTCAACATCAGAAAGGCTAAGATCAGGTGCTAATGGCTCAGGTGTATGTATTTCTATGTGCCTAACATCGCTGACCTTACGTACATTCAATAACAGAAGAAATTAAAAGGAGACTGAACTTGGGGTAATGCTTGCTACCATTCAGTCAAGAGCCTTTTTTCCTCTCGTCTGCTGTCTAAAAACATACAAATTAGAATATACAAAACTATAATTTTGCCTGTGGTTCTGTATGAGTGTCAAACTTGGTCTCTGACATTAAGGGAGGAACATAGACAGAAGGTGTTTTAGAATGGTGTTGAGAATATTTGGACCGAAGAGAGATGAAGCAACAGGAGAAAACTGCATAATGAGGAGCTTCATAACTTTTATGCTTCTCCAAGTATAATTAAAATGATGAAGTCAAGGAGGATGAGATGGGCAGGGCATGTAGCACGAATAGGTTCTAGGAGGAATGCATATAGGATAGTGGGAAAGCCTGAAGGAAGGAGACCACTGGGAAGACCAAGGCGTAGGTGGGTGTACGATATTAAAATGGATTTTAGAGAGAGAGAGAGAGGATGGGATGGATTGGATTGATCTTGCTCAGGATAGGGACTGGTGGAGGGCTCTTGTGAACATGGTAATGAACCTCTGGGTTCCATAAAATGCTGGGAAGTTCTTCAGTATCTGAACAATTGGCACCTTCTCAAGAAAGGCTCAGCTCCTTGAGTGAGTGAGTGAGTGAGTGAGTGAGTGAGTTAGAGATTTTAATACAAAATCAGCAGTTAACCCAGCACTCTTCAAAGTTGCTGCCACCTTGTAAAAGTCAAGACTTTAGAATTTTCCCCCAACAAATCAGCAATGTTAGGCTTCAAGTTTTGTTTTTAAAAATAAGTGTCCAAAAACTTTATAATATTAAGCCACGGGTTTTGTTTTTACAAATAATCTTCTGTGGTTCGTAGTGCTAATATAATATTTTGAAGTTAATTGGGTTACCAGTTAATATGTAAGTACCTAATATTTTCATTAGAGTAATAAAAAGTAAAGTTAGCTCTGTAACAGGCTGTGGAAGCCCATAGGGTTTTGCGACTTTGAGGCATCTACATTTTCTAGACACAAAGCTCGCAGATGGTGGTGAGGTTGTCAGCCTTACATGCCAGCCACTCTTTATCCCGCAGGAAGATTCCCGGTACTCATTTCTGTTAGATGTGAGTTGACCCCAGGGCCATAGTGCGCCTGGAAGGAATAGGTGAAATGAAAGAATCCAGTGACCTCATTGGAAATGTAACCTGCGACCTTTCAGCTTGTAGTATAGTGCTTCAACCACCTATGCTACCACCTGCCCGCGAGAGAGTGTAAAGCATATTTTTTTATTTGTTGTTAATTTATTACAGGTATAATAGGCTCCTGTGCCTCCACGATGACTTACCAGCTCCGATGGTAAGACCAAGTAGTGAGAGTGTCCGGCCACGCCGCTGCTAGGCCGAACTTTGGCCATCGTATCTGGACTTGATAAGGTTCAGCCCATCCCTGCAAGAATATAGCATAATGTCCTCCACCATGCGAACTACACTCCAAACTGTGCCTGAATCTCTTCCTGCAGACCATGTCAGCAACACCAAGGTATGGCACAGATCTTTTTGAGCATAAGAAGGCAGAAATATCCAGTTCCGCTAATGGTGTCAGGTTACCAATAGTTGACAATTATGTAAGAGTATAAATAGAAGTGGCGCAGTAAGTGTCCAGTATGTTTTTTGTGAGTGGAATTTGAGATTTTCATGCCTGTGACTATGAAGATCTCACAGGATGTGACAAAGGGCAGAAGGGTAATATTCTTTATGCTGTTCTTATTCCTGTTGGTTCACCCAGAGCTTTGGTTGCCACTCTGTATCCTTATCATTTTTTTCTATGAAGGAATCAGGTTCCTTTGAAATGTTAACTCTGCATCACAATGCAGCATCACACCTAAGAAGGCAGCTGTAGCTGTAGCTACTGCTCTCTGCATTCCAAGCCATTCACCTGCTCTGAAGATGGAGGCAATACGTTCCTCCGAAACATTGGCCAAAATGAAGAATACATGGCACCTAAACCCAGAAGACGACTTTCTTCATAGTCATCGCCGTGAAAACCTCAAAACTTACACGTGTTTTTTTTTTTTGTTCACATATGGGGGGAAACGGGCTTGGTAACCATAGCTACTCAGTTTATGATGGTGATTTGGGAAAGCAGGCTTACGTAAAAGAAAAAAGTACTGGCTTGAGGGTTGGAGGGAGTGCGTGACATTCCAGGCTATCGCAATATCCTATGTTGGCAAATGGATTGAAACCAATTGAAAATCTTATCACTGGCTATACTGTAAAGTAGTTAAGACTATGAAAGCACAGTTGACCAACTGGTACGTTGACATTCTCGGTCAAAAATTTCATTTCTTTAATGGACATCAGAAAATTTGTACCCTGCTGTGAAAATTTCCAGCTGCTGCTTATGAATTATATTGAAACCATAGTATATCTATGGTATTTGATTATCCTCTTCTGAAATGTGAACTTTCCTTTATTTATTTATTGGAAGAATATTTGCGAAGTAATATTTCAGACCTCCTAAAATATGTGATCACTTCAAATCTGAGTATAGCTTTACCAGAATTCACAAAATTATCTGTGTTGTTGTTAACCATTTCAGCACCCAGTGCATAATTTGTATAGTGGTTTGGTTGGAGCTGGGGTAGGATAGTCAGTATAGCAACTGGCTAGAGTATGGATGGTGGAGGAGTCAGAGTTTGAGTTCTGGTAGGGTTAAGAATTTTCTCTTCTCCATGTCATCTGGACCGGCTTTGGGGTCCACCCAACCTCCTATCCAGTGGATACGAGGGTCTCTTTTCCCAGGGGTAAAGCTGTTAGGACGTGAAGCTGACCACACCTCCAGCTAATGCCGAGGTCAAGAAAATGTGGATCTGTACATTCACTCCCCCATACACCTTCAAGGCATAGTGCTTAATTTGTTAAGCACAGAGACAGTTTTACCTTTGTTTGTATGGTGTTTACAGTAATTTGTTAAAAGTCTTGAGACCTTCCTCTGCCATGGCATTTAGCTAATACTTTTGGAAAAGCAGTGCTTTGCTGCTGTTGCTTGTAACCTAAAGATGGAGGCACCAGATTCCTCTGAAATACAACTACTTTCTTCTGGTTTATAGTAGACAGTGTCATATCTCAGAAAACAGTAGTCTTTTTAATCTTTGTTGTGAGAACCTCAGATCTTGCATAGATTAGGTTAGATTATATTATGGTAAATCAGATTGGGTTTCAGATGTACATGTACTTCCTCTGACACTTCTTTATTCTAAACTGGCTAGAGACAGCCCAGCATAGAAATGATTAACAAGGTTCTGGGCACAGTTTTCTGTATTTGATCTTGCCTGTCATATTATGTATATAATGGGTGGAGGGAATACTCAGGGTTACAGAATCATCTTGAACAGTGAAATTAATTGAAGAAAGCAATCTTCTGGGATTTGGCACCGTGTATATGTGGTGTTAACCAACGTTTCGGAGGAACATATCGCAGATGCTTTTACCGGTTCTCACGGTCTCTCCGCTTGCAGATTTCTTATATATTTTTTCTTCTACCCTGAAGATGGAGGCGATACGTTCCTCCGAAACGTCGGTTAACACCACATATACACGGTGCCAAATCCCAGAAGACTGCTTTCTTCATAGTCACCGCCGTGAAAGCCTCAAATCTTACATAGTGAAATTAATTATTCAACAAATGTAATTGATTCTCAGTCTTACTCGAACTTGCAGTGTGATCTTTTAAAATTTTTAAACCTTATTTAAAGGTTTCTGTATATTGCACTACATGTTTCAACTGACATTGGTTATCATCAGGTGTTTAAAAATTGTTGGTGAAAACTGCTGTGCTTCCATTTCGTGGTTATGATATTTGATGTGTAGTCCGATTGTGTATTCCAAGGTGTAGGGTGGCTCTTCCTGTTGTGTTGTGTTATGTTGTGTGTCTGCACTATGAGTGTTTCTGCATATAAGGCAGTAAATCAGTGGCATTTGTTGAATAATAAATAATGTGCAACAGGATGCTACAATATACTCTTATTAAAAATAATGTTCTTCATCCTCCAACCAATGAACTTTTAATAAAGTATCAAGAGACTGGAACATTGAAAAAGTGGAAGTCCAAACAAATACTGCAGCACAAAGCAAGAGGGAAATGGATTTAGAAAGGCATTTGAACAGATGAGTCAACAAATGCTTGTGGACAGAAGGGCATAAGAGATCTAATACATGATGCTAAAGATGTTTATGTTGGTTGATGCAAGAATATGTAGATAAATATACTTATTATATGAAAACCCAATGGGAGATAACATGGAGCCTTAAATTTGGTGTAGAATTCAGTAATAGCATGATATCAGTCGTATAGAGTGAAGGTTACTGACCCATTTATGTTATCTGCTCTACACATATCCTCACAGCCCATATTTCTCCTCACACTGGCCTGCCAAATGACTTCGGGCTGCAGAGACACGTGTTGCAGTGCATGTTTTTGTGTTAATGTGTCCATTCAAATAACATAAAGCCTCAGTCTGAAAAAAAAAACATTAATTTCAGATCATGTTTACTATTGTAAACTGACTGATACACTAGTCACAGAAATTTCTACACTGTGTGGCCACAAAGACTACACAAGTGTGGTTTTGTTATGCTGCAGTTTCAGTAGTTTTGTTTAATTTCTTGCAGTCTTATTTGATATTGTTTTACTATGCCAGTCACTAAGGAGGCTTATCAGTTGAATGTTCAAGCCTTTGTCTCAAATGATTCAACTTCTCATGCATTGAAGGGCACACAGTCTTCTAGAATGTCATGTGTAGTCTGGTAGGAGTACAAAGACAAAACAAACCAGAATGAAACAAATCAGATTCTGGTAGAAGTACTAATGTTTTGGAGGAACATACTACCTCCATCTTCAGGGTTGAAGACTAAGCCAGTCATGCAATCAGCAAGAAGCAAGGAGGCGCATGGTGTTAGACTCTGAAGATGGAGATGGTACATTTCCCTGAAACATCAGGAAACTCCAACCAGATTACATAGTGATGCGAGAGTCATACTGAAAGTCACGAGCAACAATTTTTTGTAAAGTAACATGCTTTATTATTGACAAACAAATACACCACCTCAATCTACAGATCTTTCTTTATTTTTCCACATAATCGCCACTTCTTTGTACACATTTCTCCCAGCGTTCTGGGAGTGTGAAAATTCTCCTTCTGTAAAATTCCGTTCCAGTCATCCGAAGACACTGACGCACTGCTTTCTGAATTGCCTCCCTTGTCTCAAAATGTTGTCCACACAGCTGATCCTTCACAAATCCGAAAAGATAGTAGTTGGAGGGTGCCAGATCAGGGCTATAGGAGGGGTGTGAAAGAACTTCCCACCCCATCTTTGCAATTGCTTCCAATATGAGGCGAGCGACGTGGGGGCGAGCGTTGTCATGCAAGATGATGATGTTTCGTCCCGGACATTTATCGCACAATGCACAGTGGAGCTTGTGCAGTGTCTGGACATAACGAGCAGCATTGATGGTTTTCCCAGGTTCCAGGAATTCGGCCAGAATAAACCCCCCTGCATCCCAGAAGACTGTGCCCATCATTTTCACAGCTGATGGCACTGTCTTTGCCTTCTTTTTTGATTGAGAATGCAAATGGCGCCATTCCATACTCTGCCGTTTCGTTTCAGGCTCGACATGGTGAAACCAGCTTTTGTCATCTGTCACAATACAGAGCAAAAAATCATCACCTTCATGTCGATATCTCTGCAGTAGTTCTGAGGTGATGGCTTTTCGTGACCTTTATGGTCTTCGGTCAATAACCGTGGGACCCAACGAGCACAAATTTTCCTATGGCCCAAGCTTTCAATCATGTCCTGTACTGCACTATGCCCTATTCCAGTTTTCGGGCTATTGTGTCCACAGTCACATGCCTGTCATCTTGAATGATCTCATCCACTCTTTAGTTGTTGCGTTCAGTTGAGGCTGTTCAAGGACGACCGCTCCGAGGCTCATCTTCGATGCTGGTGTACCCATCTTTAAAATGTTTCACCCATCTTCGAACACTGCTCACACCCATGCACACACTTCCATAAGCACGCTGAAGTCTCTGGTGAATTTCTGCAGCAGGGATTTCCTTTTGCGCAAGAAATTCGATGACAGCACGCTGGCGAAACGACATATCGTTGGCCATTTTGATAGGAGTGATACTCGTCACGTGATGCAAGCTATTGACATCACAAGGCACTCAGGGTTAACACAACAGCTGGTTCCACCTACCACCTTACTCTCTTTCATCTGCTGCTCCCAGGTTGCATACAAAGAAAAGTTGCTCATGACTCTCGGTACGACCTACGTACATTGCAGAAGGTAGTACTCTTCAGTGTTACCATTGTGAGAAGTTTCTGTGGGGAATTGAACCCTGGGAAATGTTATGTGACACTTTCTATCATAGTTAAGTTTCAAATAATGACGCAAAACACTCATTGCTCTAGTGTACACTGATATGTGCCCATGATAAAGGAACCTTGTGAGAACCACACTTAATTATTGTAACTGTAAAA